GCAGATTTCTGACAGGAACCTAACTTTCTCCAATATAGTAGTGAAAAGTTTAGCTCCTGGGGAGGTGCTTTGAAGAAAATAGAGTGAGCCCATACTTCGTCAATGGCCGGCCGAAGCCAGTCTCTCTCGCACAATAGGGCAAAAAACTAAATGAGTGATTGACTTGTTAGCCCCGCAGGAACAAGTCAGAAGGGCATCAAGATGATGAAACCTTTCGTGATAGGCACGAAAGTCACCGTGTCCAGTGCGGTATTGGATTAAATACCCGAGATATCGGCGAGGGAGTCGAAGTTCCTCAGGAGACTTCTTGGGAAATGGCATCCCTAACTCGCAATAGATAGAGGGAGCCTGTGATTTTTTTTTTTGCATCAGATTTTAATTGCGTATGCAGCTATCTAGCTATGACACAATATCAAAGAAAAGTACAGAAAAGATGACCCAATTTACAATAGGAGCACTCATGCCTCGGATTTCATTTGCAAGTACCACTGCGAAGTTATGGTGGCTTTTTCTTCACACTAAGTCAACCCTCATCCGTGAATACCCACCCAGGGGAACCTCTCAAAATCCCATTATCCAGACATGCCTCCATCATCTTTCAACTTATCTCCGCGCGAAATATGATCTGAGATGTCTCCTTCCCAAGTGGAGTAGGTGCCCAGGCTACTCAAACTATACCAGAGTACATCACCAGGAGGCGGACCACAACACCTTCCATCGTTGGATTGTTTTTATAGTGTCAGCTACACTCTCGAAAGCAAATTCTTGGCGCGCACAAAGCCCAGTTCGTAAAACTCCTTGCCAAAATTCGAAATTTCATGCCCGTCGAGAATGTATCCTTCCTTTGCATCATCTTGTGAACTTGCCCTGATCCCTCTCACGTCCATCCCAAAGAGCTATCTCCCAAATTTGTGCTCCACACTTTGCTTCCTCCGTTGGGTATAAATATTGGCGTGGGCGTGTATTTGGTGGTTAACTGAGGCCAGAGAAAGTTGACGAGAGGTATGGGCATTTGGATGAGGATGTACTAGGTCGTACTTGTAGACTTGATGAAGCTTAGTTGAGAATCGAACTCTTTCGGAGTGAAAGATTGACATGGTGGAGTAATTTGAATTTTTGCCTCGTGGGCCAACGTCTTTGATATTGCGAAATTTGACTGAACTTGGCTCTGGGAGAATATTTCACTCCTAGGCTCGTAGAGGACACTGCGTACAGGTGTTTAGTCTTGCCACCAAGCTGTGGTCAAGTCCCATATTTGCCTTTTAATCCTTGCGCGGACTCCGGCAAGGGATGCGGCAGAGAGGGGCTGGTTGACGAGCCGCCTCTACGGCCAGCTTGTCGGCCAGCTCATTGCCTGGAATACCTATGTGACCGGGAGACCACATAACTTGGACATTGCCAGGAGATGCGATAGGCAAATTTCTTCTCGTAGGCCAGCTAGACGCGAGATCCCGAAATTCTAGAATTTCATTTTGCGAGGACTTAGATGGCGAATAATTGAGGAGGCGTTGTGCTGCCTCTTGATTGTCTAGGATAACGTGGATGTTGGTTGCGAGATGAGTTGAAGGGGCAGCTACAGCGGCCTTAAGCCCTGCCAGGGCGCCGATAATTTCAGAGTCATAGACCTCGAAATCGGGGCCGGCGGGCACCCTCACTTGAGCTACAGTGATGTCTTTATGGAGAACGACATACATGCAGTGAGCAAGGCAGTGTAGCTGCTTGAACATGAAACACCTACACGTGACATAAATGCCAATCTAGTCTTGGCATTACTCAGCAAACACCTACACCCCATGTATATAGATCTCGCTGTAGTTACTCCTTCTCCTTCTGTAGTCAATCTATCTTCATTTCCCCACCTCGTTATTACAAATCATCATGTTGAGTTATAATTTAATTTCAAATGATGATCTGCACAATCATATTTGCTTTGAAAAAATTATTCGAGTGGTTACTGTTGGTATGACAGGGTTAATCTCTGTGATATCACAGGTAATGAGAATGGGGGTTTGCTACTGCAGAAGCGGTGACTGATTAACGTGTGTATGTATATGGATGTCTATCTGTGGACGCCCCTGCAGCGTTGATAAAACTCGAGTCCACTTGTGAGCCCAAGGCATGAATCTAAACCTCAGGCCTACCAGAGCAAGTGCTCCGACAGTTACCCATGGATTCGCTTCCGTTCGTTCGATGGGAAATGTTAATGGTCGACATCGTAAAGGCGTTATTCACAACTATTTTGTGCTGAAGTTGAAACCCAAATTTGGAGTCAGCATAAGTACGATTTGTGTGGAAAGGTTGCACATGCACCATACGTTGTTAGCTCATTTCTCACCGCCTGACGAGCGATAATACGCAGGGAGAGGAATGGGTGAGTGAGTGATGTTTATTGTCCTACTTGAGTCTCAGACTATCTAGCACATTGGGCTCCTCTCTGACCCAGGCCACACCTTGTAAAGTGCTCCTTGCCTCTTTTGTTACTTGTAAAATCATTGATATATTGCCCGAGATGAATAGCTATTAAGCTAAGTGTTTACCCGTGGAATTCGGCCACATTTTCCACGGAACCTTCTACCCAAAAAAAATATAGAAAGGTAGCAATGGAAACTGCGTGCGCGGGAAAAAGTCTCAAAAAACCTGCAGCCCCAGCAAGGCGAGGCCTAGACACCGGGACCACATGAGGTGCGCATATTCATCTATATCTCCCTTCTTTGTAACAGTCGAGGTGGACTTGATTCAATCCACCATCTCCGTATCGGGTGCTGGGTACGCTCCGGAAACTCATCGGATGGCTTTTCCTCCGTGGTCAAGGTTTGGTGATGAGTAGGGCTCCGATCCTACCATCTGATCTGATCGTGGTTAGCTTCATGATAATGGTGATAGGAGAAAATGTTGAGAGATGAGGACGATACAGATGGCGAAAGCGATTGGGAATCCTCGTAGAAGTGAGGACTTTGTTACTCAATATTGACTCTGCAGACTCTACAGTGAGAGCTGGAGGTTCGTAGGGGACACCGCTGACGGGTGTTGAGAATAGTCCCCCTTGTGCCTGTAGTGGACCTAGAGCTTTAGCTTAGGACTTTAACATAAAGAAAATACCCAGGGGCCGGATTCTCTCTCCAGACGTCCGCCGTCCGAGTATGCTACTAGGCCTTGGAGTGGGATTATTGAGCTGGTGATGGCTAGGATTACGATGCACGATGGTAATGAATACTGAGGGTGAAGGAAGAACTTTGTAGGTGGTCCATGATAGGTAGAGGAACAATAGAGCACTATATGGAAAGTGTTTCTAGATAATACTACCAGATGGAGTATATTAGAAAATTCCGTGATGCTGTTTTGGGAAAATAAGGCGAGGGTATAGCTACCTCAGATGTGAGCATAAGTAGCATTTTCCAGCTCCTGAATCCTCATAGTTCTGAATACTAAATGATCATTAGATCACATTGATTCATCGATAATCATCCATAAATCTTCTACCAATAAACCGCCATAAGCTCTCATATTTACAATAGGATGGTCTCTTGAGGTCTGAAAAGTGGTCTAGTGACCCGTCTGATGCTAGTGTGCCAATTTCTTGGATGTGCCATGAGTGAGGTTGAAGAGGATCCAGGAATTCAATTTTTGGGGAGTTGGGAATCCATCCAGATAGGCTTGATGCACATCCAGGCCTCAGTCATGCTCAAACATAGAGGAGAGTGACAATTACGTTGCACGTTACTTCACATACAAATAACCCTGAGAAACATGGGGCTCTCGATAAGGAAATTGTTAAGCTGTCTTTTGCAGCTATTGATGGTGACATGAAATAAGATGATAATTATGATTGAGATCCATTTCTGTATCGTTTATAATACATGATATGTTCAGGTTCATATACCTCGAGCCAAGCAACCAGATTATGTTCCTCCAGATCTAGATTCATCAGAATAATTACTTAGTAGAATTCTTCTAGTCTCAGTTGTGTATCTAGGATCTTGACTAGGTTTCTGGTAACTAGTCAATGATGTTTCTCCTGTCACTGAGACATAGTCATAGTTGATACAACAGGCACAAACGATGAATCGTGTCTATACATGACACTCTCAGCTCCAGTTGGTATATTTTCTAAGAGAAAATAAAAATCCCCTTGATGCCAAGGTACACAGGATTAAGCAGAAGTCTTTTAGATCAGGCCGTGCGTCGATTTATCAAAGATCTTAGGCTTAGAATAGAAGATTGAGGGATAATTATCTAGGAGGCAGAGTGAAATACTTTTATCTGTAATTTGCTATCATAAAAAACAATTCCTCTATATAATCCGTTCAAAATGACCAATTTGGAACCTAAAATTCAATACTAATGTTTCGCTCAAAAAACCATGAAAAATTAATCTTGGACGCGGAATCGTTTGAAGATGGGATAGTATCTCATTTTATACCCGCAACCCTCGAAACAACTGACATTCAATCCAAGTATCAGAATATCAATTTGGTTAGAGCTTATGTGGAGTAATATGTCCTTCACTTCGTTTGACATTTTCCCTTCGTTTATGAATCCTAAATTTCGGGCAAGTTTTCGTCTGAATGGAAAGTTAACAAAGCTACGAGATAATTGTCAATTAAAGTCCACCTATTTGAACGATATTTCTTATCACTTAAGTGCAGATATGTCTTTGATACTAATTAACCTTTAGTACTTAACCTTTGTCATACCAATCTCATTGTCACATGATTGACTTCGTTCAAGAGATTCAGGCTGATGTGGAATTCTTACGTAGCGAAAAATTTCATATTTATGTGAAAAATCAGCTCTGCTAGAGCATTGTGATGCGAGAGAATGGTTAGCCAGGGTTGGAACGAAAAAGACAATTCTCCTGCATGGTCGATACTGAGCCATGCCATTGATCATGTAGACTTTGAGCCTTGAAAGAGGGGCAACAATTGAAAGTGCTTCAGACTAAATAATTTTTTCATACTAAATGTTCAACTCGATGACTAAGGATTGCTTCAAATTTAGGCTCACAAATCAATCAAATCTATCGTTTTTGGTCTCAGACTGAGGACACTTGATCGGCCGTGGCTTTTGCTGGAACTCTTCTTACTGTGGTTGTCGAAGAATGAAGAGACCACAGAAGGAGTAGGGGTCTTCTTTTTGCTGTAGGCTTTCTCCTCATTTATCCTGGACATTACCTCTGAATGGGCTTTCTCACTTTTTCGGCTGGATGAAATTACAGACCGAGCCTTTTCTTGTTTCTGACTTTCCGAAATTATGGAACAGGCTTTTTCACTCCTCTGGCTTGGAGCACGAGTGATAGTCACTTCCGAGCGAGCTTTCTCGCTTCTTCGGCTCTTCATACTGCCAGCCACGGATGGGGTTTCGTGTTTTGACGAACGCCTTGAGATGTGCGATATAGTGTCTCTAGGACGAAGAGTTCTATCGCTCTTTGCGCTAGCAATACTCCCAGCGTCGCTATCGCATATTTCATTGCTTCTTGAGCGGCCGGCTCCTCTACGATGTCTTGCTACCTCGGGTGTAATGTATTCCCCATCGACTGAGGTACAAATACTTTCTGCCGCTGCTTGTGAAACACCACGTCGCCAGGATTTAACTGATGCCATATCAAAACTTTCGTATGCCATTGCCATTGGCATGGGAGCGGCCTCACGTCTAACTACCATGTCATTTTGAATATTCTTGATAATTTGAAAGCCGCCAAACATGACTACAGTGACTCCCATTGCTAGACCGCTTGCAATTAGGAACTGAGGTGAGACGAGCAAGGCAAATATACCAGGACTGGCGGTTCTTATAGCAGCTAGCACATTAGGACCCATCTTCCCAACTATTGTAGAGAGCTCGGCTAGCGTAAGGCCTACAGCTGCCATAGCCTCAGGGTTTGACTGTAAACTTTCTATTATAGCTGTTGCTGAATGTTGGAGACAATGTGCTTCTATCAGTAAGTCATCAAGTTTACTCATAGTTTTTTGTAAGCTTTGTTCTTGCTCAGGATCTCGTCTAGTGTCGTGAAGTAAGTCTGGTGGAAGGTAGCCGTAGGCAAGGTTCATATCAATCTCGGAATCGGAGCTGATATCCGGATTTGAAACACATCGGGTGATTTGGGATCTGTAAGGTGGTGGGAGGGTGGTTGGTAAAGATACCAAGTGGGAATCAGTCGGTCCTGCCGTATGACGCCGAGGTATGTATGGATGAGAGAGTTCAGTTGATACACAAGGAGGTTTATAACTCAGAGTTGCATTAGAACGCTGGTAGTCGCGGTGTGTACTGCGACTTTGAGTCGAAGAGACGCTATTTTCTTCCAAGTAAGATAAATTTCGTACTGTGAGTGGTCGCCTTATGGATTCATTCCCCTGTTCCCTGGACCGGTGTGAATGCCTCGATCGGTGTGATCGATGTGACTGGTGAGAGGAAGATGCAACAGAGCGTGTATCTTCAAGACGAGCCTGTTGGGGAGGTTCGATGTTCTGTGCTCGTAGGGCGGAATTTTCAGCCCTTAGCTCATCTCTTTTTTCACGATAGGCTGCCTTTGCATCCTTAAATATATTGACGAGATGCTTGCCCTATGAATGGTCAGTATTGATGTGTGACAGGAAGACGAGTGAATCTTTAGTTTGACTGACTGTGCTGATGATCTTGCCCGACTTATTGATTATTGTCACAGTTTCTACCGCTGGCATCTTCGACTTTCACATACGACCGTGTCAGATAGCTTGGACGGCTGACAGCTTGCGCCTTGAAGAGCCGTGGAAGGCAAAAGGTTCGTATTAAGAAGCCGGCCAATCCAGTGCAAAAGAAAGAATACCATAGACTGACCGACAATTGACCAGAAACGGTTATCTAATTGATTGGTTCGATCACTAATCTTTCAGTTGATGTCCCGAGAGAGCCTAATCGCCCAATTCCGGACAGATGTATTATGAGGTTCTTGATCCCAAATATAGCGCACTACACCCGTCGAACGAAGCTTGTGCATAGATATGATCGGCTCAATCCGCTTAACCGATCCAGAAGAGGAGAAGATGTGACTGAGCCTTACAATTACCAGCCTTGAATGAGTCTACTCGGGCTAGTCGCTAGATGCCAGTTGTAATCTAGCCATTTTTTCTCCTCACAAACCTAACAGCCCCACCACCACCACCACCCGCCCTCCTGCACACAGCTTCACCTAATCCTCCCTGCTGCGCCAAGTGCCTGGAAACAAATATTCAACATTGCGTATACTCTCCTGACTTCTGCCCTCAGGCTTTGTCATGAGCGAAATAATTCCCGACGTGCTCCCTACCCAATGACTGCCCTTGACCAGATTCGCGTGCTCCTCTTTACTCAATTCGTCCAGCACGGCTGAGACTAGGCGCTTGGCATTTCCGCTATTTGCGGCCATATGTTGCATGACCATTGCCACGTCAACATCGTCGCTTGAATGCCAGCAATCATAGTCTGTGGCCATGCAAACCATCTGATATGCCATTTCCGCCTCGCGAGCTAACTTCGCCTCGGGCAGTGCAGACATATTAATAACTGTGCCTCCCCAGGAGCGGTACATATTTGATTCGGCACGTGTCGAAAACTGAGGTCCCTCTACCATAGCTTTCTTAGTAAATTTTTAAAAAGGGTTTGAACAAATCTCGCTGTCTTACCCATGCAAATTATTGTTCCCTTGTCATGCATCTGTACCCCATCACCTGCAAGCACCGAAGAACAATCAATTACGATCTTTGCAATCTTTTCATCGAACGGGTCGGCAAATCCTACATGTCCCACTACCCCTTTCTCGAAGAAAGTAAAGGGCCGAATACCTATTTCGTAATGAGTTAGTCAAGCGACCGACAGTGCAGTCAGGTACTGATAAAACCTTTGGTTCGATCGATGACCTGATTCGGGACTACGAAATCTCTTGGACGAACTTTCTCTTGAAGGCTACCAACTGCACTAAACGCGATGACAGTTCGCACTCCAATGCCTCTGAGAGCTGCAATGTTTGCCCTGGATGGTATTTCGTGCGGAGCGAATTGATGAAACATTCCGTGGCGAGCAAGAAAGGCCACCTTGGTATCTCCATGCTTCAAAATACGAATTGGTGCAGATGGATAACCCCATGGAGTAAGGGGATTAACGCTCGTGAGTGGAACATAACCATCGATTTCCTGAAGACCGGTCCCGCCAATAACAGCTATATGAACTGAGCCTGACTCGTTGAATGGGTCAGATAGGTTTGTTTGGTAGAAGTAGCTAAGAAAGTAGTATGTGGTGAGATCTCAACTTACCACGAAGGTCTTCGGGTAACTCCGACATGTTTAATGTAATTACGTATAATAAATATAGATATAAATCAGTGTAGATGACTTAATCAGAAAAAATTTACAGTCATAGATATACAATCGGTAGTAAAGATTGAAATGGAAGTAGATTGTGGGAGTGGATTAACAATACCCAGCTACAAAACAGTCGACTGACAATCCGTAGATCTTTGACATGTACACAGACTGATTATATATACGAAGACATAGGTGATCCTGCGGCTATTTTCATTCGGCGCTAATAAGAAATAAGCTTCTTCTGGGGAATCTCAACCTTGACTCATGCCGAATGCTTGACCTGTGAAAACTCCTTCATGAAGCACTTGCAGTAAGTTGAAAATTCCTCTCAGCCTTGTTCCTATTGATTGGAGCGTGATAAGCTCATCGATTATCGAGGAAGTCAGTGCAATTTAATTGGGTTCGGGGTGCGTGTGGTTCTGATACTCAATGGACAAAGATTTGCACAAATTGTCTGTGAGTGCTCAAATTCTATCCTCAAATATCTATCAGAAGAAAAGAGTGCAGAAAATGTGATGTTTTGAGATTATGAATTGTAGTGAATAACGTGGCCAAAATTAACACTGGGCACAAGTGTACATTTGGGGAACTATTCTCAACGGCTGTCTGCGGTATCCCTGTGAACCTCCAGCTCTCACTTTAAAGTCTGTAGAACCTAGATTGAGTAACAAAGTCCTTACTTTGATGAGGATTTCCAATTGCTTTCGGGGTCTACATCGTCTTAATCCTTCACCACACCCCTATCACCATCATCATGAAGCTAACCATGATCAGATCAAATGTTAGGGCCGAAACTCTACTCATGACCCACCCTCGCTCATGGAGGAGAAGCCATCCGATAAGTTTCTGGGGCATATTCAGAACCTAACATGGAGATGTAGATGAACATGTGCACCTCATCTGGTTTCAGTGTCTGGGCCTCGCCTGGCTGGGGCTACAAATTTTTTCAGACTTTTCCCGCGCATGCAGTTTCCACTGCTACCGAACACTCTGTAAAGAAGATGGCTGAATGTCTATCCGTCATGAGCAATATATCAATGATCTTTCAAGTGACAAAAGAGGATATGAGCGCTGTACAAGATATGGCCTGGCTCAAAAAGGTGCCCAATATGCTAGACGATCTCTGGCTCAAGTGGTACAATTAACACATCTCTCTCTATCTCTCCTCTCCTTGTAGAGAACACTGGTACCAGGCACCATTTCTTCTTAGTCTCCAGCTCTGAAGATCCTATACATAACTTGGAAAAATTGGCTTCAATAACGATGGACATACCGCACCTCACCTCAAGTTTGAATTGGATCTAGGTCACAGATTCGCACAAAAGTTGCTTTCATGCCAGGTTAAGAATAAACTGTTGTCCTTACCGTTGCTCTATTAATAGATCACAAGACTCTGTAAGTGTACAAAATTGACTAATCTTTCTTTTTGACATTTCTTTGACCGAAAATCGTGCTTCCGACTCGAACCTCGTTGCTGCCCATCTCAACTGCCAGTTCAAAATCATCGCTCATACCCATGCTTAGTTCTAATCTACGGATTGGATCCGCCTCGGTCGCGTCTTTGTTGTTAATTATAGTTCCCCAGCGCGTCTCCCAATCTTTACCTTTACTTTCACGTCGTAAGATTTCTTCCAGAGAATCTCTTTCATCTCGTAAAATGCGGAAATCTTCGTTATCATTCTGACCGCTGGCCACTGCTATGCTTCGTGCAATAGCACCAATTGTCATGAGCCCTTTGAGTTGCAGGTTAGGGCATGACTGCAAAATGTGAAGGGCCAGCTCGGCAGTAGCCTCACCGGGAGGAGAACCTGATTTTGAGGGCTCAGATGAGGTGTTGACTTGTATATGGATATTCATTGGATTAGAGTCAGGAAAACAAGCGCGGCCAAGATTGAGTAGATTTGCCTTTTTGGCGCTATCGACAGAAGAAACTGAGCTCAAATTTGGAATGCTGGAAGCAAGTGATTTGCATTTATCTAGAGAATCACTAGTCAGAATGTTATATTTCGTGACGTATCGCATAGTTTGAAGGGTGCAGATATTGTATCAAGTGACGGAAATTCATTTCACAAATGCGTTACTTCCATTGCATCTTTAATATTAGCATTAAATAAGACTTTAAAGGATCGATTTGATTGCTGCAAGAGACTGAAATATGCTTCCGGAGCATCACTTAGAAGATGAAGAAACTCAGTGACACAGTCGAATATAGTCGAATCTGATTGTAGAGATACAAAATATGACCCGATGGGATAAGTTTATAGCCACGGATAGTGGAAATAAGATTTTTGAAACTGAATTTAGATGCATTAGATAGAAGTCGAACGTACTACTTTGTAGGCCCCCTATAAAGTGCCATTTTATATCTTTAGGTAGGACCGTTGATTTTTCAATTAGCTCCTGAGCATAATTCTCTCCGAAATGTCTATGCCCTGAATCGTAAAGCGCCAGAATGTCGGACGCTGGCTTTAATTTGGAAACAGCTACTAATTGTACCTACGCACGTTTTTGTTAACAATTGCTTTATAAAGTATAAGAAAGCTGGAATTGGTTGACAACTAACATTGCGACCTACTGCTTTGGTATTGATACGCCGAGTAACATTCAAAAGCGCAGAGACAAGTGTTTTGGCACGTTCTGCATCAACATGCATTTCTGATCCTTCAAGTGGCTTTTCTGGTAGATCCATGATGAGAACTCGTCGTGACGCAAGCCGCGATAGGTGGATAGTTCAGGCTCACTTTGGCGATGCGGGGTAGCCTAGTGAAGGTTGTTGACTGAACTTACTTGATGAGAATGGGGACGTTGGCAAAGGATTTATCGCCGATGCTCATTTTATTCTTCCTTCACGGAGGACGAAGATAGAGGACTTATTGCCGGCCTCTTATCAGGACCTGGGCATGAAAAAAACATCCTAAAGCATGCTGATTCAAATTTTACGTTGCCGATGAAGTTGGTCGACAAGAGAATGATTCAAAACTCCCTGCCTTTTAATAATTTCTTATAACGCGCGCTGTTTCCCTTCATACCTGCTTTTTGAGTGGTAAGATTTACGGAATGGTTGACTAGATCCAAAAGTAAATTCTGAGCTTAATGGCTATCCATCATGGGCATCATGTAAGGGTTTTTTTCGCAAAAAATTATGGAGTGCTCTGAAGATGGTTTAATTTCAGTTGAAGAGGTGTCCCATGGGCTAGATAGCCACAGACCTGAATAGTAAGAATCATATGCAATCAATTATCCCTACCAGCCGGCAGAGACGAATTCTTTATCTTCCAGTGGTGCCGGTGTAATCGCTCAGTATGCTTGCATTTCTGGGATGGCCAAGAAGAATCGCATCCTGATCAAAGTCGAGAGCATGAACAAGCATATCTAGAGTTGTCGACCTCTCATCAATATAGGTCCTTTCATTCCCACAATAGACCTCTACGCCCCAGTCGCCTATCCTTCCTTAAGTTGTACAAACCCCATTAAAGCAACAGCCCCCTATACACCAGCACTCGAACTCTCTATGTTGTGACTAAATGTCTTTATTGCGGGTATTTTTAACGTCGTAATTTGGTAAAGGTTGATGGCCAGTAATTAATGAGGCAAGCTCCTGTCTACAAGAGGAGTAACTATTAGGAGGGCAAGGATGAACACCTGTACGCGGTTTCCTCTACGAACCTGAGAGTGAAATACTTCCAAAGCCAAACTCAGTCAAATTTCGCAATACTGAACAAGTTGACCCACGAGGCAATGATTCAAGACTCTCCACCTAAACAATTTCTCCCACTCAACGAGATCGATCCTCACCAAGACTTCATCAAGTTTACAGGTACGACTTAGTACATCTTCCTTTCAATGACCACATCTCTCTTCGACATTCTCTGGGCTCAGTAGACCACCAAATATACATGCATGCCGATACTCATATCTGACGGAGTAAACAAAGCGTGGCGCACAAATCTGGGACACTGTTCTTTTGGATGGGCGTGAGAGGGATTATGACACATTCATGACATGATGCAAAGGATAGATACGGTCTAGACGGACGTGGAATTTTGAATTTTGGCAAGGAGTTTATACAAATTGAGCTTTGTGCGTGCCAAGACTTCGGCTGCAAGAGTGCAGGCGACACTATAAACACCGCCATGGTTGGATGGTGCGGTGGTACATTGGCTTGGCTGGAATGCCCAATAGAGTCTGGATAGCTAGGACGCATATCCCGCTCAAGAAAGTAGATCGCTAGTTCAAATCCGGCAAAACACAACCAAATTTCTCGCGGCGCAGGTATGCATGGATGACGAAGGCATGCTTGGATAACCAAAGGTTTTGAAACGGCCCTTTGGTGGGTACTTACGGAGCAGGGTCGACTGTTTGTGTAAGCGAACATATCTCATAGTGGTATTTGCGAATGAAATCCAGAGTATGAGTGTCTCTAACGTCAAAAGAGTCATGCAATATGTATACATAGCACCTGTCGAACCTTTTGAGCTGGTTCGGAAGATTTAATGATTGAGACTAGAGGTATCTGGAAGAATAACTCGCACAGTAGCTTTCGATTGAAGTAATATAAAAGATGTAATTGTCTGTCTTCCTTCCTCTTTCTCTCAGCTTAAATATCTACACATATCTACTACCTGACATATGATGATAATATCTAGAAATAGCTTCCTTACATCACAGGATACAATCCAAACATTTTGTAGCCAAGATGTAATCCTAAAACGACTCAATACCAGTTCACCTAGTCTGTTACATGGACGCTAAGTATTTTCTAGCTGAAAATTAACCAGAACGCCAATTGGAGGACGAAGGCTAGACACCTGTCAGTTGTGTCCTCTACGAACCTGGGAGTGAAATATTCTCCCAGAGCCGAGGTTCAGTCACGACAAAGGGTGAATTTGAGAGTTTTCGTCGAGTTGGCGATCGGGAGGAGTGGCGTTTGCTCATTTTTGGTCGAAAACCCGACATGCAGAGATTTCACGACTGCACAACTCAACGGAATTAACTATCTACATCCCAGATACGAACCGCAGACAGATTGTAACTTGTCTGATGTTCGTATTACAACAACCGACACCTTCAAAATCCTATTTTCTTTTTCTCTAGAAATTCATTGCCAGCCAAAATCATCTCACCACCTAACTAAGCAATCCCATACCTCCAAAAGCCAAATCGCCAACTAAGAAGCCAGAGGATGTCTGATCCTCCGCAACTGTAAGTCGCTGTGAAGGTACGGTCGAAATACCGGCCCTAAGTGTGTCCTCACCCCGGCCAAGGGCACTAACAACTCGACCTGCGAAGAATCGCCACCGACGAAATAAGTACTACATTTCGCCGGCACACCAACTAGAGCATTTGACAAAGGCTGGGGCACCGGCACCTCGGTCTTGAGCTCTCAGTCTCGTTATTGACCTCCACGGTTAGGGGTACGGCAGCGACGGTGCAAGGCCGGAGGGGTGGATATTCTAAAAAGTTTCTGGGATGACGAGATTGGCTGAAGGACAGAGGGAAAATAAACTGAGGAGGCCTTGGTGGGCGACTGGATGAGGCCTCAAGTGAAGAAAACGATCCCTGGATGAGATGAGGAGATGCTAAGGTGAGCTACATCTGGGAATGAATGGAAGGTAAAACTTACAGATCGCGAAGTTCTCGAGGGCTCGGGCGCGTGGTGGCCGAGGCTGAGGAGGAACTTGCGCTTCGGCGCGCCAGAAGAGGGTTCTCTGGACAGTTGGGCTTGACATGATTTAACACATGGGTGAAGTCTGAGGTGGTCCGGTCATTCGGGTGGGACGAGGTAGATGTAGTTAATGGTAGTTAACTTGATCCAGCCCGGCCCCACCCGTGCTTAAGCTCCAGTAGGAGTGCAACGGGAGTTACTTTACCTAGCACTTAAATGAACAAGACATGACAAGACAAGACATTAAGTCAGGAATACGAATTCTATCGGGCTCTGATGTTGGTCTGACAGCGCCAGTCATGTGTCTTACCTAAATAGCTGAATATATTAAAATATACGTACTCAGATCACTTGTATAACTTGATAAGAGACACTGCATAGCAAATTTAAGGCGTAGATGAATCAGTATTGAATTGGTATCTGTTAGACTCTACGAGTCAATTGAAAAATGTATGAAGTAAAAGTAAAAAGTGTCAATTAATTCCTGGCTGCCATTTCTCTTACTGATACTATCTAGATTATGTACGTCTAGAAAATGGCAAATGCTCTATGTGTCCCCAACTTGTCCCCATAGACCAAGCTTCTCATGGTTTGGAACGAAACATCTCTAGTCAGAACAGATAGAGTTCTTATTACTACAGCCCAAGCGAAACACCTTTTTTCGAAACAAGTAACTCCAAGCTTTGTAAACCTAACTCCTTCAACTTTATATCTGACATTAATCGCCTTCAAACTATCCACAGTTTGATAGTATCCCACAGTAGTGATATGAGTTGGGTCTTATAGAAGTCCCCATCCACAAAACTGTGTTCCAATTATCTACTCTATTCTAAACGTGTCTCATTCCCTCGTATAACTGAGAAGCACTCTGTCAATGACTTGTGTCATCAAAGAATGACTACTCCTTCACTTGACAGATCGTCTCTACGACTCGTCGCTTACATTACTCGGTGAGTACTAACTGACGCGTCTATTGTCCGGACAGTGCACGGCTCGTAACTAAGTGAGTCGTGTAATCCGATACTGGAGGTTCCACGTTCTATCTACTAGGACATGATCTGTTTCTCTAACAGAATACACATTAAATGATTTAAAAAAAGAGGAACTATTAAAAAATACATACTCTGATCACTTTCATAACTTGATAAGAGACATTCCACAGCAAATGTAAGGCTTAGATGAATCAGTATTGATGTGATGTGGTGAGTGTATTGTACTACTTGAGTCTCAGACTATCTAGCACATTCGGCTCCTTTCTGACCCAGGCCACACCTTATACAGTGCTCCTATCCTCTTTTGTTACTTGTAAAATCATTGATATATTGCCCGAGATGAATAGCTATTAAGCTAAGTGTTTACCCGTGGAATTCGGCCACATTTTCCACGGAACCTTCTACCCAAAAAAAATATAGAAAGGTAGCAATGGAAACTGCGTGCGCGGGAAAAAGTCTCAAAAAACCTGCAGCCCCAGCAAGGCGAGGCCTAGACACCGGGACCACATGAGGTGCGCATATTCATCTATATCTCCCTTCTTTGTAACAGTCGAGGTGGACTTGATTCAATCCACTATCTCCGTATCGGGTGCTGGGTACGCTCCGGAAACTCATCGGATGGCTTTTCCTCCGTGGTCAAGGTTTGGTGATGAGTAGGGCTCCGACCCTACCATCTGATCTGATCGTGGTTAGCTTCATGATAATGGTGATAGGAGAATAGGTTGAGAGATGAGGACGATACAGATGGCGAAAGCGATTGGGAATCCTCTTCGAAGTCAGGACTTTATTACTCAATCTCAGCTCTGCGAACCCTATGATGAGAGCTGGATGTTCGTAGGGGACACCACTGACAGGTGTTGAGAATAGTCCCATGAATCAGTATTGAATTGATATCCGAAAGTGGTGAATGGATCAATGAAAATTTATATGTGACGGGCACAAGCCATGCACTCAAAGAGCATGACGCGGAGAAGACTAGCTTCTCCGGCAACTATATACAACAATAACCCAGTTTGATATTTGGACTACTCATGTAGTGGGTGAATTCGCTGATACCACTCAAGACCTTGGTGCTAGGGACTTTCACCCTTCCCTCAATCGTTAATATCCACCATAGGTAATATAGGAAAAACCTTTGGCTACTCTAGCATGCCTTTGCCATCTTGGATATAGCCGCCGAGCGAGATATGGCCCCTCAGTTCTCCCTTTCTAGAGTGTGGTAGATGCCCAGGCTACCCAGACTTTAATTCGGGGAGATAACTACCAGAATGCGGACCAAATTATCTTCCATCATTGCCTGTTTTTGAAGTGTCGGTAGCACTGTCCTAAATCGTTGCCTAAGCGCACATAGACACCCTTAAGTCGAAATTACTCGAGAAATGTGCGTCCCAGCATGCCCATTGGTGAGCTCTTCACTCGGTCGTCCCACGTTCCAGCTACCTGTTCTCCCTCATGATGTATTACCCCATGAGAGTAACAGTCCCTCAAAGACCAAGAACCGAGCTTTGTAAATTATGACTTAATTTCCTACTTGCTGGTATATATATATGATTCATTTTTCCTGATTTGGTGCCTTAAGGCCCATATAGGTTTTTATCGGAAGATATTTGCTTTAAGTAGGATAGCTCAGTTTGACATTTAGAACACTCATAATCAGGTTTCATTTGCAGATACCACTCGATATTAACCCTTACGGCGTATAACCTCTTCCATGCGTACCCACCACAGAGGAAAGCGTGAAAACCCTGTGGCTATATGAGTGTGCTTTCATCATCTCACAAGTACAATATCACCGCGAGAGAGAGTGGTGTGTGGGTTTCACTGGATTCGAACCAGCTTTCTCCTGTCTCGAATGGGGTAGGTGTTCAAGCTACCCAGTATCTACTTGGGAGAACGGCCCTGATGGTATACCACTGCACCATCCATCCCCTACTTGCTGGTATAGGTAGCGTCGTAAGTTTGTAGTGGGTGATGGCCGGTGATGAATGAGGCAAGCTCCTGTTTGCAATTGGGGTGACGCCTTTATCGGTCGGCTAGGCGAGATGATATGTGGTTAGATCGGGGTTGAGGACTCAGAAGATAATGTTGAGTGCTGCATGATTGAGAAGTCGTCAAATGAAGATGTGTTTGAGGTTGCTTTCGTCTTCGATTCGGATGCGATTCTTCTTGGCTATCCCAGATATGCAGAGTTAACTGAGCGATCACACCGGCACCACTCGGAGGTGAAGAATTCGTCTTTGCCGGCTACACATGCAGATTAGTCGCGCGGAGAAAGTTTGTACTTAGTAGTTTTAGTCTATCTCACTCTCGTGAATACAACAATATCGCTTCTTATTCTATCTGACCTCCTTCCACTTTGTATTCCTTTGTCTTCTCTACAGTCATACAGCTATAGAAGGCCTCCCAATTTAATGATAATGATATTTTTATCGTGACCGGGTACTGACCCAGCACCCAGGGGGCATGGCACGGGTTGTCCAGATCTATATAAGACTCTTCGCTACCTACATGATTGGTTCATAGGAGCCAGAAATACAGAAACAAAACAAATAAAAAGAAAAAACACCATTTCTGAGGTGCTAGTGCCCTGCACTACACCTCCATCCTCGTGCTACACTGAGCGGCCCTGAGAAGCAATACAGCTGAAATTCAAGTTCCCTGTTTATGATTCAATTTTGCTGTAACATTTTGTTACAGTTAGAAAGCGCCAGAATATCTGCCATCCTTCTTGCCCTATCATATCCCTTGTCGTAGGTCGTGGTTCCTTCGTTTCCGTCCTCCATTTCTGGATGGTCGGGCGACACTCTGCAAAATGCCATGGCCGTTTCTCTCGTCCGCATTTGCATCGCATTTCTTCATTCGGATGTTGAAATCGTCTGTGATAGCTAGCGAAATCACCATGCCCAGTCCTTGCCGCAATGAGGCGGTGATATGCCCATCGAGGTAAAGCTAGCTCCGGAGGGCGTTTTCTTCGCATCAGTAAGTCCAGATCTTCATACCTGTCCGATCTATTTTTATGCCACCAATCTTCCGCGAGTTTCTGTACTCGTATTGTGACTTGGCGTTTAAGTGCTGCGAATGTCAGGACTTTGTCAGATTCCTCCTGAGTGCACTCTGGTCTCGAGATATTTCCTTCCTTGGTTTTTGATGCAAGGGCTGCCTTTGCAATTGCGTCGGCTTTATCGTTCCCTTCAACACCACTGTGTCCCGGAACCCAGTGGACTTCTACGGCAGGCTGAGCCTTGGATAGTTCAATAAAATTCCGGACCTCAGACTGTGAAGAGCTCGTTCTACCACTCACAAGGGCTCTTACCGCCTCTTGATTGTCGAGGAGTACCTTGATACCTATACTACCTCCAATTTCCGCCGCCGCTTCTAGGCCTCGAACTGCCCCGACGATTTCTGCATCAAAGACCTCTGCTCCTGGGAGAAAATTTCCACCACTCGCTATGAGTTCTCTGTCCCTGTAAATAGCATAGCCATAGGTTGAGTATGCTGGACCAGTCGATGACCCATCAGAATATACACACAGCGTCCCTACAGGGAGATTTCTAAGCCAATGATTAGTCCGCTTCGACTTTTCCTCCTTGTCGCATTTGGCTCTAGCCATAGCCCTCGCGATGATCGGTTGGTAAAGCTGTCCAGGCCCTTCTGATGCCGGTAGGTTGAGGTTACCATTCTGAAGGCGTGTCAGATATCGCTCTGGAAACTTGAAGACACGATCTTTTTGCCCCTCTCTCAGTTTGAGTCGCTTAATTGCTTCCTTTGGTGTCTCAGCTGCCCTTGACGACAAAGGGTGATAGCTGTCGAGTCTGCGGATTCTGGCTGCATTTCGGAGCTGTCGCTGCTGTAGCATAATTTCTGCCGGTAGTATCCCTGACTCACGGTGCAGAACTATATTTGGTGTAGTTCGCCACACTGGCAGTGCGGCTCGAACAGCAGTCAAAATAGTCCTATCTAGTAACTTGAGGTGCCATCCGACACCCGTACTTACTCTTTTATCTCGTACCGTAGTGATACGGGTGAGTCCAGGCCACCAAGCTTCAGCGCCATAAATTGCCGTACTGACTACACATGCGTTCACTGCACGGATTAATGGTCCCGGAGCCGCACCTCGTTGGACCCTATTAATACTTCGTATAAAGTGAGATAGTCGTTGTGCCTTATTACACCATTCTTGAACATGTTGTCTAAACGTCAGTTGGGAATCGAGCCAGACCCCGAGCCATCGATTGTACGCGGAAGGCGTAATAAGCTGTCCCTCAACCCTGACCGCGAGGTTGGATGAGTCTAGTTTCTTCTTCGGTCCTCCTCCTATAAGGCCTCCCAATTTAATATGTAGAGCTTTTTACTTTAGCTCAGGACTGTAATATCGAAACAACAAAAACTTTTTGTTACCAAAGGCCTCGATGGTGCAGTGGTACACCATTCGGGCCATGAACCATAAGTAGTTATCGAGTAGCGTGCACATCTTTTACGTTTTGGGCGGGGAAAAGCTAGTTCGAATCCAGTAAAACCCACATTCCAGTCTCTCTCGCGGTGGAATTGTCCTAACTTTTTTTTACATCACATTTTAATTGCCTATGCAGCTATCTAGCCATGACACAATATTAAAGAAAAGTGCAGAATAGATGATTCAACGTACAGGAAGAGCACTCATGCCTCGAATTTAATTTGCAAGTACCACTGCGAAGTTATGGCGGCTTTTTCTTCACACTAAGTCAACCCTCATCCGTGAATACCCACCCAGGGGAATCTCTCAAAAACCCTGAGTTATCCTGACATGCCTCCATCATCTTTCAACTTTTCTCCGCGCGAAATATGGTCTGACGCGTCTCCTTCCCAAGTGAAGTAGGTGCCCAGGCTACTCAGACTATACCGGAGAACACCACCAGGAGGCGGACCACAACACCTTCCATCGTTGGATTGTTTTTATAGTGTCAGCTACACTCTCGAAAGCAAATTCTTGGCGCGCACAAAGCCCAGTTCGTAAAACTCCTTGCCAAAATTCGAAATTTCATGCCCGTCGAGAATGTATCCTTCCTTTGCATCATCTTGTGAACTTGCCCTGATCCCTCTCACGTCCATCCCAAAGAAGAGTCTCCCAGATTTGTGCGCCACGCTTTGCTTCCTCCTGCGGGTATAAATATCGGCGTGGGCGTGTATTTGGTGGACAACTGAGGCCAGAGAAAGTTGACGAGAGGTATGGTCATTTGGATGAGGATGTACTAGGTCGTACTTGTAGACTTGATGAGACTTAGGTAGGTGTTAAACTCGTTGGGAGCGAAATAACGACGTGGAGGAGTAATTTGGATTTTTGCCTCGTGGGCCAGCTTCTTTGATATTTCAAAATTCGACTGAACCTGGCTCTGGGAGAATATTTGACTCCCAGGTTCGTAGAGGACACCGCGTACTGGTGTTCAGTCTTGAACTCATCTGAGGCGGTTGCACAAGTGGGCTTCTAGGGGACACCTCGTACAGTTGTTCGGTTTCTGACTTTGCAGAATACCAATTGAATCATTTTAACAAGCCCTCCTTGCTTTTGATGTGATCTTCTAACCATAAATAAATCCTGCCTTCCCTCGCTGAGACGTTGACACAAATCTACAGGTTAATATTATTCCTCCATCAGCTTTTTTTCATCACCATTATACAAAATGAGTCAATTCAAAGATCTTTACGAATACACTGCCCAAAATCCTCTCAAAGAAAGTCTTGCTCGATTTAGGCAGGGCAATGAAAATCAAGTGGACCCTATAACTTGTAAACATTCCATACAGAATTCTGAGACAACAGCTAATTAAGCAGTAATTTCTCAATTTATTTATGAACTAATGGGCTACACGCTTAGACTTAAGAATAACGTCTCTATCAAAGTACTTTTCAACCAGCTTTCTAAAATTGTCGCAGAGATAATGGTTAACAAACTATCTATCTTATTTTTCGAAAAATTAGTTGACACGATCAACTCTAACGGCAGCGACCTAGACGTTTGGGCCGAAGTCATAAGCCTTGCCAATGACTTTCACGATGAACCATCTAGTGAATCCCAGTCTACACTGGACATAGAGATACCTATAGTAAGAAGAAAATACACAACGACTACCTTCACGCGAAACGCTCAAGAAAGGCACAAATATAATAAAACCTGCGAATCCCTCACATTGGCTCTCAAAGGCGAATCAGTAAATGACGTATACAAAAATGTTGGTAATTTCTGGGAGGTTTATTTCGAGAATCCAAGGTGGTCTCCAATAACAAAGCGAATCTGGGAGAGTTATCGTGATAACAATCAATGTCTACCCCATGCTTTCAAGGAAAGAATGAACGAAAGTGAACTCCATGCATGGCTTTATACATTCTATGATCGCTACCTGAAACAGTTCAGGACTCCTCACGAGGCAAATTTACATGAACCAGCATTCATCCATACAGAACATGATCCTCCTGTGCGCGGCAGATTCGCTCACACCACAGAGTTCAAACAACTTGACGGTGGTAAAAGTAGACGAAAACTCGACTTTTTCATCGAAGGTGCCGACCTGCCCGATGTTCCCAAACATCATTGGAGAGATATTAGAGTAGTCGGTGAATTTACCAAGTCACCTGTAAAGAAAGAGGCAAAATATCACCAGCTCACAAGGTACATTCGTGAGATATTTTACGCGCAGCCGTTGCGTCGATTTGTGCATGGATTTGTCGTGCATGGATTACACGCCGAGTTTTGGATTCTCGATCGCTCGGGCGCGTACAGCTCGGGTAAAATTAGTCTAATCGAAAATGAGGAGAAACTGGTTCGAGCCATCTCGTCCTATGTCTTCATGAGTGAGGAGGAGCTTGGACTTGATACGACTATTCGTTGTGTCAATGGTAAATCTTACATCAACATTAGAGACAACAAAGATGCATCAGAACGGGAGATCGAGATAGATCCTGAGCCGATTTCTAGACCGGAGACAATAGTTACACGGGCTAACGTCTGCCATCGGACCAAGGACGAAATGTACATGGTCAAGTTTTCGTGGGGGTCAGGTACTGAACGATCGGAGCTTGATTATTTGGAGCTAGCTAAACCGGTGAATGGTGTGGTTGACTTGAAATGGAGTAAGGCTATACATGAGGTTGAGACCCATCGAGCTGGGCTGGATTTCTCAACAGCTCATAAGGTTTACTTTCGAGATAACGAATGGCATCTCTCGCACGGCCTTCATAGCAGAACATCCAAATCCGAACCCTATTTCCGGAAACGTAAGCTAACGTTGGCACTACTGTCTCCCAATGGACGCCCTCTCAAATCCTGTCGAACGCTTCGGGAGTTCTTAAGTTGTCTACTTGATGCCATAATCGGTCATCGAGATCTTTACGCTAAAGCTAACGTTCTACACAGTGATGTTTCTGAGGGGAATATCATTTTGACCAAGCCTGACGCAGACGGAAAATCACGCGGAATTCTTATTGACTTGGACATGTCTACTTCGGTTGATGACAAGGTGAATGAGACGGAGAAAACAAAAATAACTGGGACAGTCAAGTATATGGCGATTGAATTGCTGAGGAACATGAGCGAAGGCAACTATAGCATAAAGAAATCGTGTCGTTATGATCTCGAGTCGTTTTTTTACGTTTTTCTCATGGGGTGTCTACGGTACGGTTGTTTGAGTGTAAATTCTGAGTATTTGAAAAGCTGGTACACAAACAATACTTCACTGAATTACTTTAAGAAGAAGGGAGATATTATCGAAAATTTCGAGACAAATATCTTGAAACACTTTCCGTCGAGTTTTGACAGTGTCAAGGATTTGGCAAGAGATCTTCGGAAGATATTGTTTGGAGAAAATTTAGAACAGTTCGCGTCAACCTCTAACTCTGCTCAACTTTATGCACCTATTATTAGTGCATTCAAGAATATTATAACACAAATTGATGGTATGAAACTTCTCCATCCGCCCTAAATCAATCCCCTTGTTTAACACAGATATGCTGATATCTTCCACCATTTGTCACAGAGGGTCATATTGTTGACGAAGAACTGAGCTTAGAACCTAAGAAAAAAAAACGAAGGCAGACAAAATCGAAAGGAGGATCAACGCTCAAGTCGAAAAGGACAATGTGAGAGGTTGATAGGGAAAGTGTAATGGTTTGACCGTTGTTTTAGCTTAGGAGGAAACCTAAGCGTTTAATTAGGAATAATTACGACAAGACTGAAAGAGGAAGGATGGGCAAATAGAGATGAAATGGAACTAGTAGCCAGGAGCTCGAAGCAACATCATAGCGTAATGGCTCCTGATAATACTTGGCTCAGTAGCAAGAATTACGCCTAGAGAGAAGTTATCAGTCAGCAGATTCACGAAGCGGACCAAACGTTATAAGTACCTGTTAGTAGTAGCTAGAGATTTCTTTTCTCTTCACATAATTTAATAAATCGATTTATTCATAAATTAACTAATAATATTCTCAGAGTTCATGGAATTGATTGTGCTTTTTCAGGATGCTATCTTAGTTCTAAAATACATCTTTAGATTATTCTCATAATTTAATACCAAAATTCAGACATAGCCCAATAATTACAATTATTTATGCAAACAGGTCGTATCTCCCTCCTTTACATGGTTCTGGAATTGGTCGTGTTTGTTCCCTTAGTAATAACTAACAAGTGGAAAGTATAACCAGGCATAGTAAAATTAAAGCGATTTAATAGGAGATTAAGGAACTCGACTGTAACGACGAAATAAAAATTGCTAATATTAGCGGGATTATGCATAGGTAGGTGGAAATCTACCTAATAACATATGCATGATTCGGCTATATCCAGTGACGCTTTAATCTTATATTTCAGCTGCATACTGATTAACAGTCTTAACAAGGGTGATTCTTTCCGTAACCTGACAAGGGCCCAAAACAGTTCGGCAATGCAAATACAAAGTGAGCACATGGGGCTTAACTCGTATTTACACAGAAGAAAAGTACCCGGAGTATTAAGTCTAGGTTGTCCATGCGGCTACCAATCATAGAACCCCAAGCATATGATAATGTCCTGCCCCCGATGGTCAAATGGTAGAGCTGAGAACGGAGACAAGCTAAAGATCGATCCTACGAAGCGATGATAAATAATCCTGGAGATATAAAAAGGAAAACACAGTGGATCCTAAACCATAGTTGGATAGAGCAATTCCAGATGACAAAAGCGGTCGAAATACTGCTGAGGGAAAGGAAAAGATCAAATAATGCTTGGGGCGGATAGAGATGATCTGGTTAGCTAACATGGATGGCACTAAAGTGTAACTGCGCTTCCCAAAGAAAATATGTGAGAACTGTAGACAACAAGTAGAAAGGTGTTGGAGGTTTTCGCCATAAAGGTTTCCTCCCGGGTAAATATTATATACTGTAGACACCTGCATGGGCCCACAGGGTGCTAAATCAGGATGATGAAATCGAATTCAAAAGTGATTCTTTATTTAGATCTTATGATGTTTAATTTGACAGAGATGAAATGCGATTTAGTATAAGTGTAATCCTTCGTTCTCATAAAATATTTATTAATCATGCAAAGTACATGAACCCAAAATGTTTGATTGTGGCTAAAGACAATGTCTTGAAATGCGTAGTTAATATCAGTTAGATTAGATATGCTCTATGATTCAATTTGTAACCGAGTTTGAATTGAATCTATCTCGTTTGTTGAAATTATGGAGTGCAGAGATAAGTCAGGTGATGGTTAATGGAAGTAATTGATGAAGGGGGGTTCTTTTTTTGATTTTTATGGTCCTAAGCTAAGTTCTATATCTCCTAGGAGTCAAGGAACGGCGTACACGGCCGAGATCATGCTTCCCACAGGCCCAACTCGGTCTCACCGCGTGATTCACTACAAAACCAGTAGCTAGTTAAAAAATAAAAAAAACACCCATAAATTCCATTTAAAAAAAATCCAAATGCAATACTCCAATTTGAGGTGGGAAAGCGACACTTATCGTCTCGTTTTCCTTCCTGCCATGCTTCGTGCTATGACCTAATCAATATCCTCTCCGCTGAGAGCTGGAGACGGACTCGCAGGTTGGCCTCCGAAGCAGCCGGTTTCTTGCACAAAATATGTAAAATTCTCAAGGGACCTAGGCCCGAGAAGCTTGTGGACAAAGTCGTGATGTGACATTGTCCCTCGTAGTCGACGCGTCTGGCGTGCGTGCATTCGACAGTGAATGAAATGAAGAGGTGATGTCTCCTCTCCACACGCACACCCCATTGAAGCTGCGAAATTGTTGGAACGGCGGTGACATGCCGCGAAGTTTCTGTGGCCCGTACGAGCTGAAATCAGTTTACGAAGTAGCCGCCGAGAAAGTGCCAGCTCGCGTGGCTTGCTTCGTCGCATGAGAAGGCCCAGATTACGATATCTAGGTGGACATGCTTCTTTCCACTAGTCGTCAAGGAGCGTTTGCCTGTTCCGATCCATGAGCCGACGAACGTACGCCAACGTGACGGAGCCAGGCTGGCTCTCTTTGAAAGGACCAAGGTCTACGAAAACAACCATGAGTCTAAAATATGTTGTTTGCCTCAAAGTATTCTCTTTAAAAATCATTAGTGGAGAACAGTTTGATCAAAGTGGTGTTCAACTTCAATTTAAAAAAATGATTGATCTCAATGGAAACACCCTCACGTACATCAATCCGGAGCGGCGTGGATTATTCCTTTGGCTTCATGATGAGCGCGAGCCCCTAAAGATTATGGTGCCCAAGAAAGTTGTTATCCACACATCAGAGCTCCCAGAAAAATCTCAGCCATGTTTAAAGACCCTCGACCATGCCGAAATCTGTCACCTAAAAACTTCTTTGAATTCCTGCTGGAGCAATGGTGTATTTAAAATGTCTGATGACGTTATGAGACGGTCAATACTATGGCATAGGAGGCTTTGCCACCCAAGCGCAGAAAGAATGCGACGGACAATTAAGAATACCGTAGGTATAGAATTACACATCTCTGATGTTGAATCGATCACCTGTGAAGTGTGTGACATGGGGAAATCACTTAAGTATACTACAAACGCTAGAAAATCACCAATGAAAAATGTGGGAGAAGGATGGCACTGTGACGTGGGAACCCTGAATACCCTGAGTATGGAAGGTTATGGATACTTTTGCTTAACTATTGAGGACTTGTCTAGATTCCGTATTTTCCGTGCTATGAAACAGAAAAGCGAAGCAGCTGTAGAACTAGAGAAGATTCTCTCCGAAGCCAATCATGAATTAAGCCATCATGGATTAAAGGTCAAGCAAGTGACCATAGATGGAGGAAGAGATTGGGGATTGACCACTTTTGAGAGCTTTGCAGCGGATCAAGGGCTCGAGGTTATAGTATCTGCACCAAACAACCAACATCAAAATGGTGTTTCGGAACGCGGGATACGCTTTCCTCGAGACGCTGCTCGGTGTTGTGCTATCCAAATGAAAGTACCATCGGTATTTTGGAATTGCATACTTGAAATGACATGCTATACCCTTAACTGCACTTCACAATCTTCGACTAGAGATCATAAAACACCTTGAGAACTGTACTGGACTGTAATGGATCCAAGTAAAGCTTCGACCGACATCAACCATCTTTGGATTCCTGGGTCTCTGTGCATAACTCATGTTGAATCATCGCACCGTGTCACTAGTGAGAAGCTTGACGCAAATGGGACTAAAAGTGTTTTCCTTGGCTACAGGGGGCGCACAAATAAACTTGTATGGCTGCTGGATAGAGGACGATTTCTAGTGTCACCCAATGTTACAGCCTACGAAAGTGTTAGTCCTAATCATGGGTGGGCGCCAGACCCAAGGCAAATTGTCATGTCATTACCACGAGCAGTGCAAGATCGCCTAAAATATAGAAAAATGGACTATGCCAGAAACAAAGATTATAACTGGTTGCGCAAATCTCCGATTCTTCACCTGCTTCCCAGAGGACGTGGATGCCCGAAGCGAGTCATTCAAAAACCATATGAAGAACAACAGCTGTTGGTTTTAAATGCGCCACTAGAGGTTGACTATGATCTGTCTATGGCATTGAGCCAAGAGGGCGAAAGTAGCAATACTGGGGCCCCTTTTCATGAAGACGAAAATAGTGATTCAACGACCACAAAAGACCACGAAATGAGTATCCATTTGGCAATTTACAAGTCCATTGACAAATCACTGTATAGCCTCCAAGATGGTGGAGACCATTTGTTCCGAATGGCAGTGAATTCAGCAAATATCTCCCGATACTTTAAAGCGTCATCTCCAGATGAACTTAGCCTTAAGATTGCGATGAAAGGGCCTGAAAGAAATGGGTGGCTCAAGGCCATGTTCAAAGAAATCGAAGAATGTCTTAAAAGGGGTACCTTTTACTTTGTCCCTAGGCTACCAGCAGAACATAGAGGGCACCTTGTGACGTCAAAGTGGGTTTTGAAGAAGAAATATAAATCTTCTGGTGAGCTAGAGAAATATAAGGGAAGAATAGTTGCAACAGGGTTCACCCAAACAAAAGGTAAAGACTTTAACAACACAATTGAGCCAACAGCCAGGTCAGCAAGCTGGAGGATTATAATGGCATTAGCAGCCCTGAACTTGTAGCATATTCTACAAGCAGACTTCATTTCTGCCTACCTTGCTGGTGAACTAAAAGAGTCCATATTTATGGAGCAGTTTCCATACTTGAACAAATTCTTTATTGAGAAACCAGAGCTTGCAACGCGACATGATTACAGGCTAGATTCTATCATTGAACTGAGAAAACCGCTATATGGTCTCAAGCAATCAGGAGCATGCTGGCAAGAAAAAGTCAGGAATATTATGTCAGATAAGGGATTCTCTCCTCTGATCTCCGACAATGCCATTTATTGCAACAATGATATTGGAATAATTGATGCATCCTATGTTGATGATTTTTTACTCATTGGACCAATGAAGGTCGAACTAGAATCATTGTCTGCTGCCCTAAA